GTATGTATGTATGTATGTATGTATTGAAATGTTGTTTGTAAAATACAATAAAGTTTCTGTTTGGTGAAAAAGGTTAGGTTAGGTTAGGTCACGTCAGGTCAGGTTAGGTTAGGTTAGGTCACGTCAGGTCAGGTTAGGTTAGGTTAGGTCACGTCAGGTCAGGTTAGGTTAGGTTAGGTTATCACAGATCGACAATAATCCCAGTACCTCCCTTCCAGCCCCTGTCAGCCCCTCGCCTGGCTTGTGGTTTTTCTTGACAGAGGTAAGGAAGGTGAGGAGGAGGAAGAAGAAGATAGAGAGAGAGGTGATTGGGAGACGTGGGAGGAAGAGAAGTAGGAAGGAAGGAAAGATAGAAAAGGTTAGACGAAAAAATTGGGTAGGAGGAGAGGGAGGAGAAAGACGAAGAGGATGAGAAAGAAGGAAAGGGAGAAGAGTGAGGGGGTGGGAGAGGAAAGGAGAGAAAGTAACAGATGAGGAGGAGAATAAGGAGAAGGATTAGGGGGAGAAAGGAGGGAGAATGGAAGAAGTAGAGAGGAGGAGAGTAGTGAGAGGCCGAAGGAGGAGGAAGGAGGAGGAATGGCAATAGCTTCAGGGGAGAGGCGGGAGTAAAGGAGTATATCAGGCATGAAGAGGGGGACTGTCTCTTAAGGGGCAAGATGGTCTATCAATCCCTTCAATTCTATTCTATCAACAGAGCAATTTCCCTCTTTCCCATCAATTTCCTCTGTCCCATCAAATCAGTTCCCACCTTTCCCATCCATTTCGCATTAAGAATCTGATCTGTCTCATTCTTTTAACAATTCTTAAACAAACAAAAAACTGAACACCATTTTTTTTGGGCTCTTAAATGTTTCACACCTGGGAGGTCCATTAAAAGCTCAGTATTAAGCCTCGAGGTAAGACATAAGACTCACTATTGGCCAAACACTGCACTAGAAAGGTTCATTTTTTCTCATCGGTAATGTTAGGTGCAGTTAACTATTTGGGTCAGGGTATCCATAGTTGTGATGAAAGGGGGTGCTCTCTCTCTCTCTCTCTCTCTCTCTCTCTCTCTCTTTTAATTCGAGAAAAGTTAGTGGTAAGCTGTATTATATAAATAAAACAAGCAGAAAGAAGAAGAAAAGACAGAAGTGTGTGTGTGTGTGTGTGTGTGTGTGTGTGTGTGTGTGTGTGAAGAGAGAGACATAGAGAGAAAGGGGGATAAAGAATAACACAAATCACCAACAACAAGTCTGAGCCACATGCAAGGAGAAGAAGCAACTTTCAATGGAAGTGAGAGGGGTCTTAGGTGGGAGGAGGAGGGGGTGGGAGGGGGGAGAGGAGGAGGGGAGAGAGGGAGGTTAGAGAGAGAGAAGTTAGTTTAATTTGTCTTTGGTTAGGTTAGGTGGGGTGTTTAATCTTCAGGTGAAATGTTCAGGTGACTTCATATAGCTGTTAGATACTGGTAAAAAAAAGGGAAACTAAAAATAAAATTGTAAGCTGGTGATACAGTCAGCTTTTTAGTGTGTGTATTAGCGAGGTCGTGGAATTCACCCTTCCAGCACTCAGGGAAGGTGTATATCATGCCCACTGACCTGTAAACGTGACCTTTGACCTTTATAACTCTCAACACAAGGAAGATCATAGTTGCTCTTTCCTTTCTCAACTTACACACCGACACACCGAGTCTGTTGACATTCTTAGTGTATATATTTTCCTAACATACTTACCCAGTAATTATATGCTGACATATTTAATCTGCTGACACATATTAACTGACACAATTAGGTTAGGTTAGTTACAGAGGAGAGTTGTGGTCAGCTGTGAGGGAGGAATGGAGGGAGGTACTCACCAATGATGGTAGCGAGGATCATCACACCCAGGATGACGGCGGTGATGGCAGTGAACATCACCTGCATACTGAGGGTGGCTCCCTCCTCCTCCGTCCAGTTGCCGCCCACCAGCGTCCAGTTGCCGTCCATCATGGTCCAGTTGCCGTCAATCATGGTCCAGTTGCCGCCCTCGAGCGTCCAGTTACCGCCTGACAGCGTCCCATCGTCAGCGTCTACAGTCTCGTCTACGTCGAGGAGCGCTCTGGCCTCCTCGTCTGTAGTGTTGGTCCAGTCATCCCACCACGGGAGGCTCGCCGGCCCGCCCACGTCCACCACCACCCCGGGCGGGGACGATGTGGGCGACCAGCGGGTCATGTGGGTGGTGTGGTGGTGAGGACTGCCTCCCGCGGGTGGCGTGACCGCGGGTGCTGTTGCTACCCGCATGTCACCCTCACATGACGCTCACCGAGTCTCAAGGAGGACCTGCGGCCCTCATGCTCACAGCTCCTCACACCTCACGCATCACCCGCACGCCCACACGCCCGCACGCCCTCACACTTTAGTACATCCTTTCAAGAAAATGTCACTTCGTTTCACTATTTTCACCAGAACCAAGTCTCTGAGTCACTCCAAACATGACTTACACTCTATGAGGGTCTATCACCTGTGACGAGACACTGAGTAAACACCTGTGATGGGAGAAACTTAATTATGCCGCCACATAAGAATATTTCTCCACCCTTCCAACGCCCCGTAAAAACACCTGTCCAACATATTTTCTTTTTCACGCGGGAGACCACAAGAGCTACTACTAGAGGCCCGCCCCGCCCTCAATCCTCCCAGCCTGAAATATTTACGACTCGGTCCTGAGCGTCAGTCACATGGGCTGGGCGTCGTGTGCCAAAGACAGGCTCAGATAAGACAAATATTCTCTCTCCTTTTTTCGTCAGGATATTTGGTGAACCAGTCGGGGTTTACAAGCTGCTGTGGGTGAAGTCTTACCACCAGTACAGTATAATGCTTCATAATGCTTCTATAACATGATACACAAAACCACAACAGCTGTAAAAAGAAAAAAAATACAAATGCGATAAAAAAAGAAACGTACTGTATAGGCTGTTACACCAGAACATGGATTGAACCAGGAGTTAAAGTTTTCAATCAGTGGAGGACAAATTGTTGCAGCAGTGAGGTGGTGATGGTGTTGCAGTATTGTATGTGGCGGATGGAACCGTCGACACTATATTGTTTTGATTGTATAGAAAGAAACAATATTGTACGACAGTGATAGAACTCTGAATAAACGTTTCTCTTGGCACAAAATACAACAAAAACGTTTAAAGGGATAAATAATAAAACCTGTCATCCTTCTCTATACATGACAGGTGTTGGCTGGTGTGATGACAGGTGTTGGCTGGTGTGATGACAGGTGTTGGCTGGTGTGATGACAGGTGTTGGCTAGTGTACTACATATATCACTGTGTCAACTGAACCACTTGTTGACTCCTGTCCAGCTTGTCTGTGTAAATATTGGAGAAGGTTTATGGACACTTCTGGATGACTGTTGACTCAAGGAACATCTACCAGGAGGAAGGTAGAGAGCGTTGATGCAGTAGGTGTTATAGTATTCGACCTTCCTTCATAATCTTGTACATGTTCCCTGCAAGGTCACAAATTCATCCTCAATGGAGCGTAATTTCGTCTTGGTGTGCTGCAGCCGAGTGTATACACCATTCACCTCCTGTTATAAGGGTTTTGCTGACTCGGCTCCGGGTGCTTTTAGTCCACCCAGCTGTAGTATGGTACCAAACCTAACCTAATCTAACCTAAACTAACCTAACACTGATAAGTTGTCTGGGGGGTTGTAAATACTCTGCTAATGTTGATATAGTGTCGTAAATGGTGACAAGTAAGGCGGTCAATGTTTGTTTGTCTTCCTTAACCCAGAAAAGCTCTCTCTCTCTCTCTCTCTCTCTCTCTCTCTCTCTCTCTCTCTCTCTCTCTCTCTCTCTCTCTCTCTCTCTCTCTCTCTCTCTCTCTCTCTCTCTCTCCATGACTGTATAAATGAGACAGGGTCATTACAGTCATTATTTGAAAACTCTTGTTATGTAATTTACTGTAATTGAGTAAATGTAATTAAGGACTAAAGGAATATTTATATTTTTTGTGTTCCTGAAATAAAAGTTTAATTGTGCTCAGTATATATTGGAGGTGTAGGATCACCTGATAATTTATCCCTCTAGTGTAGTCCACCTGAAGATTGACCACCCTGGCTTTAAAACCTAACCTCAGCTAACCTAACATAACCTGAAAGCTATCTTGGGGTCTGTAATCCTCAGGTGATTCTATAATATACATACACAGGTACAGGTTATGTGTTGATGTACTGGTAGGGAACACCTGGAGGTTGGCTGTGTTAAAGTAAACATCTAGCTGAGGTTATTTTCACAGTGGTTAGGTTAGGTTAGGTTAGGTTAGGTTAGGTTAGGTTAGGTTAGGTTAGGTGATCCTGCGTCATTGAGTACAAAGGAGGGGGAGGGGGGAGGGGCGTGTGTTGAGGAAGCAGCACTTGAGAGGTGGATCAATACAGGACGGCTCCAAACTCTTCATCTTGGAGAGGAAACACCTATGTGACACAGAGCATCAAAGCCTTCAGGTTATGTCAAGAGCGACTAGACTACTCACGTATCATCGCTGACGTTCACTTGTTTTGTTCCTGTTCTCCAGACAAAAGTGACGGAAGGTTAACTGCACAGCGGGTCCCTCTCTGCCGCTGTGGAGTTATTCTCAAAATTTATTTATTTACCCGTTAAGGAACCTCTTTAAATACTTTGGTAAACGTAGCCACAAGAGGAGTATCTTGTACACATTCCGTCATAAAGTTCCCCCACAAGAGAGGTGTTGGGGGGTGGTGATACACGAGCAAGCTTCAACGAGACACTGACAAAAGTTACTGAATCTGTCTCACGTTAAGGTCTTTAATACTAAATGATGAAGGAAGTTACAGTAGTTGTGGGGATTGTGTCTCGTTCACTGTCATCCTCGCTGTATAATATTGTCTTAGTGTTTCGGCTTCGTTGCTTCGTTGCTTCGGGTAAAAGATCTATTTCTGCAGACTAAGAGATTCACTTCACCGACTCTGATAGGATCTTTCTAAATGGTTTTATCGTTGGTAATTAGACTAATGAGATAATACCAGAAGAATCCCTGACTCCTAGGGGCCTCTTGCGATCCTCCATCAACTGTGGCTAAAGCTCCTGTGATGTAAGACAGGGCTGGGAACTTATAGATTGGTGAGGGTTCATGGTGGGGGCGGACCAATAGAATAGTTTCCCTCTCTCCTGGTGAGCTGAGGTGGCACAGATACCATCAGCCTAACCTCCTGATTCTCTATCACTAAAGATGCCTCAGCGATTTTTGAGAGATATGCCCGAGGTTGTGAGAGACAGGAGGAGAGAGACGTGGAGAGATAGCCCCGAGGTTGTGAGAGACAGGAGGAGTGAGACGGGGAGAGATAGCCCCGAGGTTGTGAGAGACAGGAGGAGTGAGACGGGGAGAGATAGCCCCGAGGTTGTGAGAGACAGGAGGAGTGAGACGGGGAGAGATAGCCCCGAGGTTGTGAGAGACAGGAGGAGAGAGACGTGGAGAGATAATCCTTGTTCGTGTTTGTTTATGTCTAAGTTTATGACAGAGTTAAACGTGATAAGTGAGCAATATTTGTAACCTCACTCACTCACTCTCTCACTCACTCACTCACTCCCACACTCACTCCCACACACTCCCTCACTCCCTCCCACTCACTCACTCCTCCCTCCTCCCTCTCCCACTCACTCACTCACTCACTCACTCCCTCCCACTCACTCACTCACTCACTCACTCACTCACTCACTCCCACTCACTCCCACACTCCCACACTCCCTCCCACTCACTCCCACACCTACAAGTGATCATACAGGTGACAATGAAAGAAAATAGAAGTCAAATAAAAGTCAAAGGTTTACTTGGTAAGTCAGAAGACCTTTGATGGCTGCGTCAACAAACTCACTCCCACACAAACAAGGTTAGAACGATCTATTTGACCTGATATGCTGCCCCCCCCTCTCTCTCTCTCTCTCTCTCTCTCTCTCTCTCTCTCTCTCTCTCTCTCTCTCCGTGAGTTATAGGGAAGACCTGATTAAAACTCTGGAAAGACTTGAGTGTGTTCTGTAAGTCCCTTCTTCTTCTTCTTCTTCTTCTTCTTCTTCTTCTTCTTCTTCTTCTTCTTCTTCTTCTTCTTCGTCTTCTTCTTCTTCTTCTTCTTCTTCTCCCTAACAAGGACTAATCTCAACACCAGCTTATATAAACACGACATTAGTTCAACTCACTTCACAAATGACGCTCACTTTATCACTGTCTTGCCTCACGTAAAGCTTCTATCGACCATCTTAAGCTTATTGTTCGACTGTAAACTGTATAGACTGTCAGGTCAAGCTTCTATCGATCATCTTAAGCTTAGTGTTCGACTGTAAACTGTATAGACTGTCAGGTTAAGCTTCTATCGACCATCTTAAGCTTAGTGTTCGACTGTAAACTGTATAGACTGTCAGGTTAAGCTTCTATCGACCATCTTAAGCTTAGTGTTCGACTATAAACTGTATAGACTGTCAGGTAACTGTTTCTCCTGTGTCATTAGGAGATATCATTGCCAGAGAGAGACGATGAGACTGAGGGAGAGAGATAGGCAGTCCAGAAGTAATTACCAGAGAGAATGAGAGATAGAGAGAATGAGAGATAGAGAGAATGAGAGATAGAGAGAATGAGAGATAGAGAGAATGAGAGATAGAGAGAATGAGAGATAGAGATATGAAGGGAATGCTGCCTTTTGTCTGTCAGTAAGCAAGATTCTGGTTTAAAAAGAGATGAAAGTGAAGAGAGATGAAGTAGAAGTGAAGAGAGAGAGAGAGAAGAACATAACTGGAGAGAGTAAGAAATAGGGAGAGAAAGAGATAGAAAGTGGGAGAGAAGAAAAGAGAGAGAGAGGGAGAAAGAATGAAAGCCAGAGAAAAGTAGAATTTTTAGCTGATTACCTGAGACACAGAGAGACAGAGAGAGATAGGCTTAACTGATCAGAATAAGAAGCTTAGTTTAATCTCTCTACGCTTGGTGCCCCGATGTCTTTAAGATCACTCAAACAATGTCTTCAAAGAGGCTTACACACTGTCTCCAAAATGGCTCATAAAGCTTTCAAAATGGCTCATAAAGTCTTCAAAATGGCTCATAAAGTCTTCAAAATGGCTCATAAAGTCTTCAAAATGGCTCATAAAGTCTTCAAAATGGCTCATAAAGTTTTCAAAATGGCTCATAAAGTCTTCAAAATGGCTCATAAAGTCTTCAAAATGGCTCATAAAGTCTTCAAAATGGCTCATAAAGTCTTCAAAATGGCTCATAAAGTCTTCAAAATGGCTCATAAAGTCTCTAAAATGGCTCATAAAGTCTTCAAAATGGCTCATAAAGTCTTCAAAATGGCTCATAAAGTCTGAGTCCAACTAAGACAGACAATGAAGTCTTATGTCCTGACTGAAAAGATTTCTTCTGTAATGAGTTTCTCTCTCTCTCTCTCTCTCTCTCTCTCTCTCTCTCTCTCTCTCTCTCTCTTAGTCTATCTCCTCTTCTCTTTTACTATATCTCTATCTCTCTAATCTCTCTCTCT